CTGCTGACCTCTGAGTGGATGTTTTATGTGACTCGTGGACAATGAGCACACACAATAACGTGATCGGTTGAAACGGTCGGTGTACGGTCAATGGCTGTGTGAAAAACCATATTCATCGTACTGCTAGTTGATTGTATCAAATGAAGAAATATATGCACTGGTTTTGGATGGAATGCGATCTCTGCAACAGGATCTATCAATGGTCCTATGAAACATTGCATCAGTATAACTGTATGTGTGTTTGTGTCTAGGAACATGGTAACCACTGATCACTTAAACCACAGGATACTTTGAGAAAACCGTATTAGAATTAGAGTTATTGATGTACCTTTTCTTCTTTTTTCTTTTTCATTTTTACTTCCTTTTATTGAATACACAATGATACAAGTTTCAGGAAGGGGGAGGCGGAAAAACAAAGGGCTGCCATACAACACACAAATCGGGAATGTTAAAGTATCTGCATCTATCCCGTAAAATGTGCCACAAACTTTTTTTCATATATGACTAATTTTCTTAAAGCTCAAAGGGAAAATGTATCAGAGGATTTAAAAAGGCAATCCGCTCCCACTGGTGATCATAACGTCACATGATTCGAACTGGGCTTCGACTAAAAAGTAGAATTACACTGAAAGACATCATCAAAATACGCATTTAATTCGGTGATTTAACCAACAACGACGCAACCGACTGTTTTAATGTTATTTTCACTTGAATTCATATCCGGTCCCTTTGGAATAAGCATAAAACAACTTTGCATGTCGTTCGTTTGACTGAGCACAAATATGATGCTCCTGTTCACCCGGAATCATTTTCCGTTTTGATTTGACTGGAAAATAGCATACAATCGGTGGTTCATAACGAGTTAGTCAACACACTGCTGTTCTTTCACACTCATGCGGAACCGAAACCATGCGGAGCCATAACGCTTGGTTCTTTTCATAGGTGAATGCAGGTTAACTGATATGCATGAGCGTAGCTCACGATTGTGTACACGGAGGTAACTGAATACCGTTCACGTAATCAGGGTGTTGGATCTCATTTCGTCTCATTTTGTGAGTTATGAGTATAAGAATTGGTGACGATGGGTAGATTTGTACGTGTTTGGTTTTGGTGGAATAGGAAGCATTATTTTATCAACAGTGCGGTAGAACTTTAAATCATCGATCGCACTATATATATGCATAGATATATGTATACATTACGTACTCAGGTAGAGATAAAACCGCGTACCACTTGTGCGGTTGAATGTTTCAAAACAATCATTTCTTACTCCCGTTTTTAAGCATGGACTTTTGTCGTGATTTTTATGCGACTAATGACTAATCGCTTTCTAGCCACCTCCCTCACACACACACACACACACACACACACACTTACCTCGAATATCACTTTTGTCTAACCCAAAACAAAAGTTAAACCTCCTAACCATGGTTTTGTCCATCTGGTCGACAAACGGTTTGCCATAACGCACAAAATCGTGTTAGCCGAATCGATAGGCTCCACAACTGATGAAATGCATACCAACGATCCAACCGAAATGGAATTATATTGTCGGGCCTGTTGGCAGAAAAGCATGAGGTATTTTATGACTAATCAATCTTTCCAGTTTACTATAGTCAACGGTGTGACTTTCTTACAGAAATTCACCTGGCTCATGCGAGAGTCAGAACGGTGTGAAACCAACACATTTCTGTCAGTAATTTCTTCTTGTTTGAATGAAATACTATCTCTTAGCCGATAGAAACGTCACAAAAACTGGCTGGATATCGCACTGAGTCCTGGAATAGATGTATTTGCGGACCAAGGTAGGAAATCACAAGTGAATAATGTCTGTTTGCACCAATTTATCCTGAACTTCTGTCACGTCTGTGGGTTAAGTAACAATATATGGTGAGGGGCTATTACGAGTAGGTTCCTCGATTCCATGTTGTAACTAAATTATGTATGACGACTCTGTGGGGTACTCATAAAAATACACGGATGATTGTCTTAGCAGTTTGTGATACTCACAGAATGCTATTAAAATTAAAAACAAGCTGGGAACTTTTCGTCCAATCTTGTCAATAGCTAACGTAAAACAAACAAGCATATATATATATAGCACATTAGGTTGGTAAATCCCAGTTTTTACATCAGCTATTGTGAACATTAAACGAAAGATTAATATCTTGCTTCTGATTCTAAAGCCATTCTGTCCGTTCTCTAGGATTCACGAACTCACAAGGTAATCACAAATAGTTGCTACCGCCAGGTAATTGACCAAACCCTTGTGGTGGCAATTGGAGAACACGTGATAACAGTATAGTAACCATACTGGTCAATTTGGTTATTTTCATACCTCCCAACTGTAAACACTTCGGAGAATAAAATCCATAAGTTGAAGGAACAAGTGGTCGATCAGCGGTGAGTAGACTTTTCGGAGCTTTTGCAGAACTTTTTTCTCCGTTCATGGTTTCAAACTACCCTCGGCCATGCTGTAGACAGAGTGCTAAATTGAGCTCACAGTTGACACACCATAGTTGATGGATCTCGCAATTATGAGCTCGGTTGCCAAGGCACACACCATGGAGCAACAGTTCACTGGTGCTCCTATGTTTCACACTTTTATACTGAACTGGAATATGCATACCTTTTTAACAAATGATTCCTTCGTTCAGTTATGAAACTGATTTACCGCTTCAGTTCGGCTATTTAATTTTTGGGCTACTCGAACACAAACATCACATAAATTAAGCATGATGCCTGAGTTCTCAATCGCTCATTTCTGCAATGATCCGTCGTTAGTACTCCGGCAAAGTATCAACCATGTTTTGTCAACTAAGAATTTGATATCGGTCTCTACGACAAATGACCTGTTGTTTCCCTCAAAAGAATTGAAACAGGAAGGAACTACCGAGTCAAATGTTAGTTACGGTGTTAGTTACGGTAGTTGTTGTCTGCAGTTTACGGATTTAGTTATGATGTCGCTGCTTTCCCTACCAACACGGTTACCAATAACGTTGTGAATTTATATTCCTAATTATAGGCATACTTAAATCGGAATTCTGCGATGCCAAATCAAAGCTACGCTTTTGTTCATAAATCATCCCATACAAAGGTAGAGTAAAATGTTTAAAGCAAGTCTATTTACTAGCTCGAGCGATTACTTAATCGTTCTAAACAGTATGAGAAAACATTCAAATGCGATGGAAATGTTTGTGATAACCAACAAAGGGCACTTTACAGCTGTTTCGTCGTGTTTGGGACTCGTCAGCAGTGAAAAGGAATTAGTATTTGAGAAAATGCCACATAGATGTGGTAGTAAATGGTCCGGTCTTTGTAAAATTAATTTTAAGCAGAATACTACATGTTTATAATATATGTTTCGCATCTGTTTTAGTTGAATATATATGATACTACTGTGTACAATTTAGGAGTGCACCAATATACTTCCAAAGCGTCTGGCTTGCCTTTGACCATGAGCGTTTTTAGCAATTGTTTAAGTTACGGAGACCAGTTGTTCTCATTCTCGGCATATTGGGCTTGTGGTTCCCCCCAAATACAATTCGGCGAGTCTAAAAGGCTCCGGAAAAAATACAACCTCATAAATGACACACGAAACTTGTGGTCACTCGAAACCTGGAGCCACTAACGCCCCAAGTTTCCCCATGAAATTTGATCCTTCTAGGGTGCGTGGCGGAATAATGAGAGTGCTATCGGACGAGTGATAAATCTCACATATGCGAAAGTGCGCAACCACAAACGCATGGTGATTTTTGGCATGAAACATCACATAGAATAAGAGCAGCAACAATTGTCCACAAGTAACGCTCACACAATCAATAATTTTTGTTTCAATAATTTTGTTTCACTTTGAGAAACATTTGATTGTTTTTTGTTCGTCAGTGTTACACGTCAGAACACAGCGCTAGTGTTTATACAACATTCAATGTTATCCATCATCACAGTTCAGTGCAAACAACCCTAGGGGGGAGGGGGAGAAATTCCCCCAATAAGACTAGCATCACTGGTTCGATGACTTCAGTATTGGATTCTTTTGTTTCAGACATTGTACACGTACGGTCACGGGAGAGTGAAACCTCAATCGCTTATTTTTCTAAATACAAATGAAATACTGTTTTTTTCAGTTTCCCGATCGCCCACATCACATGTAGCTTCTCCGAGGTCTGTGTACTATTGCGTGCGTTCGTTTAGGGGGTATACGAGTTCTGTATGGTCAGTTCCGTTCTTTTTGGATCATCTTCCCACATGCAAACGGACAAAATGTGCCACGCGCTCGAACTATGCGCGACCCGCGATGTTTTCACAGTTGATCCTAATGCTGCTGCTGCTGACTGATTGACTGGCTGGTTGACTGGATGGCTGGATTGAAAATTGCCAATGCCCCACCCTCGTACACACAATAGCGCATATGAACTGTTACAAACATTTTTACGTGTACACACACACACGCACACACACACACAACAGCAGCACACAAACAAACAAACATGAACTGCGAAAGGTTCGCAGTAATTTCGCGCTCGCATGTGTCTGCGTGCGTGCGTGTATGGGTGTGTATAGTTCTTTGATGTGCACGCTCAGAGCATACGTGGAGTACGCAGCACACATGAAATTGCACGCGCGCATGTACGCACGCACACACTATTCAAGTTTGCATATACAGGATAAGGTGGCTTACGTGCGTGCACGCCTTTATGTGCGTGAATGCATAGCGTGTGTTAAGAAGCGCGAACGGGTGCGTGGCATAGACATCCCACAAGACACGCCGCCACGGAAACCAACGAACTGCTGGTGATTCGCATGGCGAGGAGGAGAACCAGAGAGAGAGAGAGAGTGAGCGAATGAATGAGCGACGACGCAGGGGCGAGAAGTCGTGTCAACACCCCCGAACCCGAGAACACGCACACTGACATGCGTACACAAACACCACTATCATCACCGCAGTGTCCAGCCTACAACTACTATTAACGGATCCCTCAGTAAATAACTCGACACTGCCCATTTTTCCGTTCCACCATCTGCACCTCCACCATTTCGCACACATCACCAGTGCTGGTTCTGTGCTCCGGTGCTGTCGTGACCGTTCTTGTTGCGTTCTCTTCCACAGACCGCCCCGAAAAGGCGAATCGCAGCCATCCTACTCTGTGCTCTAACAGCAATAATAACAAGAGTGAGAGGAGAACCAATACCGCGCGGGGATCAGGAGACAACAGATATCTCACAACCGGATAAAATAACGTCCGCGCACAGTGATTACGCATTTCGCAAGCTCTCAGCTACCTAACGATCCACACAAACATACACGCACAAACACACACCCACATTAACGCTGACATTGGAGCTCAAAGATATTTCTTGTGGAAACGGGGACATAATTTTGTGGATGCCCGTTGATTGCACACAGTCTACTTGTGGAAAGCTAAAGCATAAAAGCAACCAACAGGTGGAAAGCAACACAGCAGCGGAAAGGCGCAGAAGACAAGCACAATTAAGAACCACAAAGAAAACAACAACTGGTCAGTGAGACCAAACGACACAGTAGTAGGAAACAGGTGGTTTTGTTTTTCCCGGTACTTTCAATCGCCAAAAGCCGTTCAAGTACACGAACACGCCGAGCTAGCCACGCAGTCCGACAAGGAAGCGGACATTCGTGCATCCACACAGACACGCACATACGCAGAAAGAATATAGTGATCATTGACCCCGTACAAAATGTCGGATATCCTTCTGGCCGAATACACCCTGAAGCGTGCTCTGCGAGAACACACCATGGATTTGATTCAAACCAGTAGCCCACACTTGTTCTGCACTCCGTTACCCAAACACTGGCGTTCGAATAAATCTCTTCCAAATCAGTTTCGTGTTGTAAGCCTGATCACCATCCCCGATGGAACCCGGGTCAGTGTGAGTGCCGGAAACGAGGATCGACCGTTTGCCGAATTGAAAAATCCAATCACTGTGATGCATGGGAATGAGGCCCGGTTTAGCGATTTGCGATTCCTCGGTCGAAGTGGTCGTGGTGAGTCATTCTTCTGTGTTGGAAATGTCACGATGGTCGTTACTTCGGCTTCAGCGATAATCGTGTCAAAACACCATTCAGTTTATTTACATGCAAACGTTTAGTGATACACGAAGTAACAGAAATTTAACTATGATGATGCAGTGCCATGACCTTGAACTAGTTCGCGAAAAGTACCCACCGTTGATCTTACTTAGGAGTAGCAGCCTATCCTGGATGGAACAATGCTGTGGATGCATTACTCGGTAGGCGCTATCATGTACCCCGGTGATAAAATGTCAAACGGCTTGGAAACTGGTAGAGCTTCAAATCAATCAACATTCGGAAAAGTCACACCTAGATGAGCTGTCAGTTGTCACATGATTTTTCCTTAAAGTCACCTAAAGTAGTCACGTGTGTATCTTGTATATGCACTCACGTTTACTAGGAAATTACTACCACCAATATTTCCTAATGGATCGTAAATATTAGTCTAGATCGGCCACAGTGCGGGAATTTAATTTCAGTTCAGTCAACGAAGTACAGACCATCTAAGTCACCTTTATACTTCAGAGAATTTAAAAGTCTTTGAAATTAGATCGGTTTCAAAGAAGAGGTCCGTAAAAGTTTCGTAAAATGATATAGCAGTTGTAACGAAATCCTGTATGTGACGCTTGATGCTGTTGCTCTATGTACAGAATGTTTTTAATGATGTAGACTCAATCCAAGGGAAACAGAAATGCGCAGTATACAATACCTCCATGTGAGCATAATGGACTCAAGGTATAAACAAATATTCACACTAACAGTTATCATTATTTTCGTTGCATAGTTATAATGACCGTCATGATAGACTAGTCATCATCATATCCATTGTTATATTACTAATCCTCTTCTTGAGTCCATATGTCTTAGGCTGACGGGATTCAGTTAAAAAGAAGTCATAACCAAAAAGTATCTCGTTTGTCTTCTCCTAATTTAAATTACAAACATTATATTTCACTAGAACTAAAGAATGGCACGGAGTGTTCGATCCAGTCCGGGACTACATACTTCTAAAAAATCAGTGTCGATGAGCAAATTTATGTTGAAACAGACACAGAATATCAGGTTCTATCACTGAATTTGTAAAAAACTAGAATTAACTTGAAAGGGATCGCGGAAACGCTTATCGGGGGCAAGTTTGACCGCCTTTCTTCCCATAAAGTTGAACCGAGACGAATGGTGATAAGCGTCCATTCGCTGTACCCCCGGACGTTTTGGATAAATTGGCACCTCAACATGCACAGATCAGAAAGGGGCATTTCAAATAAATTTAGGAGATATCAATCGTTAAGGAAAAGTGAACGAGGTAGAAAAGGGTGTGCAAGAAGATCCACTTCAATGCGGTTTCGATAACACACTGATCTGAACCCTTTGCCAACACGTATGATTTACCAGGTAAAATAACTTTACGGAAACAATGGTCTCTTGCACACAAAGAAGACATTAGAGAAAGCCTGCTCTGACTTTGGGATCACACCACTTGTATATCTGAATACTACCAATAAAAGTTTCAGTAGTGAAGAACATAAATTGAACGAGTATTTTCTCCTAGGATTGTACCACATAGCAATTTCAGTTCCTAAAACAATTTTTCAGTCCCGAATACTTTCCGTAGATTGATTTGCCACAAAGTTTTAAAACAAAGCAGGCACTTGATAAAAGGCACACCGCAGTTCAACGAAATCAGCTCGTACATATTGGGCCTCTTTGGTGAATACAGGTGTCTGTGAGGTAATTCCTTTGCAAGTGATACTAATGAAAACTCAATAACTGATAGGGAATATGATATTTTGCGATGACGTGAAATTAGCCGTAGTAATTAGTATAAATTGTGAAACTTGCAACCCTAAACATCCGATTGATCAGTATCACTGGCGAGTGCTGACATACGTGAAATAGCTACACGGTGAATGCCTCGAAGATATCTTAGGAGATATATTACAGTGCATCATAGGTGTATTTTAAGAATAAATCCTCGTCCCAAATCCTTTCGGAAATATAACGATGTTTAATAATCTGTCCTGGAAACAAACCTTTTGTTCAACATCTGGATTGTGTATCACAAAGAATATGGCTTTAGACGNTGTTTCTCAATCAAGTCGTAGTAGTAAAGCATACACCTGTTCTCGTTGAATTCGGTTCAAAGTAAATATTGCCGCCTCTTGATTTCTCGGTACATTGCACTGTTTACTTTGCACGTGTACTGATAATGTGAAAGAGACCTTGACGAAGTCATGAACTACATGCTCCGTCCATCTTAGTCAAAATGACTGTAGTGCGTACAACGCTTTAATGTCTTTTAGTAGATGTGACCCTGTACCGAGGCACTTTATTAGAAAACAATATATTGCATGCTTGTTAGGTGTAAGGAATTACCATTCAATGGTGAAAAATACTGAAAGAATTGAGAGCAATAATTGCAAACTCTCCAACAGTTTAGTGTTTTCTTCCTTCGCTCAACTTCTAGATAGGTACAATATCATAAAACTAACAGCTCTAACCTATCTTAGCAGCCAGCAGCCCTACCTTTAGGATATTTGGGGTCTGGAAGAAGATTCACGGAATCCTAACTGTGTTGTTTGTCCCAGTCCTCTGAAATGATCTAATCCATTGTTGGTTTTCTCATCTACGGAAATGTGGCTGTTTAAATCGGTTCACGGACGCACAACAACAGGTCAGGTGAGCAGTCTGATCCGAGTTCAGTGTTCGTGTCAGAGCAACTGTGAAATCCGTTATGATGGCATCCTTAAGCAAGATTGGTGCTTCTGAAGCGAGTTGCAGTCTACAAGGATAACCACTGATGCTTACTGCTAAAAAGCTTCCCAATCCTATTCTGTGGTTAGAATGGAGATAAATTGCACAATATACAAACTAATACTTCGAACTAAATCGCTGTTCTAAAGCAAACCTATAATTGAGTCAGTGTTTTAATGAGAGGAGGTTTTGAAGCTTATAAACCTCCGTTTCCCATCGCACACTATATATCTAGGTGTACGACCACAGACTTTCATTCAACCAGGTCTTGTGTAATGCGCTGCTGTTTCTTTTTTGTAAATTAATAGTCACTTTCTTTCTCGTTCTATGAGATCACACCTGGTAAAGTGTTGTTGTTAACCTAACCGCTCTACACTCCTTTTTTCGTAATTCTTTCTGTTACCGGTGCTGGTTGCTATGGTGGTGGTGACGACAGTAAGACCTACATTTATCCTTTGTGACATCAAAGTTTCACTTATCAAACCAACTACCCGGCAAGAAGCCGAGTAGCTGTATTTGATAACGGGCCGAATGAAGAACGAGTTAGACTTACGTGTTATTTTAAGTTACTCATTGCATCTTTGTCACCGATGTCCCGAATGACAGATGCGAGGGATGCCAACAACTTACGGTGTGATCTGTGTAGGTTTGTTGCGGCGTGGTACACACTCATACAGTTCGACTTAGACACACAAACAACACTTGTGATCAATTTCCCGGCAAGTGCAAAACCACAGGAAGGTGATGTTTGTGCATTGAATCTACAAGGTGAACGTGCGAGAGAAAGTAAATGCACACGAGGACTCGCGGAAAGACAATAGGGTAAACGAGATACCTCCCACAAAGAGCGGATTTCACAGCAAACACGTGTGAACGTCAATTTTCAAGCTGAAAGACAACTGTTTCTTAGGTCCTTCTCACACTTCAGTTATTCAAGACCAGACTTGTTTGGCCGGTAACAAAACACATCACTCTTAAAGTATGAAGCACAGTCACAGTAAACAACGGTTGATCTAAACAACACACCACTGTAGTTGTTTCCTAACTGGTAATCATTCGGACCAGATTCATTCCTACCACAACTTCAGATGACCTACTGCAGATGCACCCAACTCATCCTCTGATTTACTACTCTTGAGCACCAATGGAGGAACAATTTATTGATCAGAAGATATTGTAATTAACTCTTCAATGGGAATTGAATTGATCACTGACAACAACCCCATGGGAAGTGTTCGGCTATCGTAAATCGTCTCTTTTGAGAGTAATCATAACGCTACGGGGCGCAATGCCTACAACATTCTGTCCAGCTGCATTGTTCACCGAGGAAGCAACCAAGGAATTTAGCTTATTGATTAACTCAGCACATTTATGGCCTATTACTAGCAATCACGCATATAGCTGATCAAAGAAAATACCTTCATTTATCAGCCTTCATTGACAAAATGGACGGAAAAAAATACTCTACTATCCCTACTTTACTAGCTCGATTCCGGTTAGTGGGCCGTATTTAAAAACAGTAATGTAGTACCTGTGTTTCTGTCCACCAATCGATTTGACGTTATAGTGGAGCAATCATTTATAGATGGATGGATGGATGGATTAAACTGAAGTGCAATATATCTGATTCAACACTAATATATTTGAAACTAATGTACTTTAACAAACGATGGCTAACTCTGTTGACAAACCTCACAAGCTATTTATCCTGATTTTCTGATCATAGAAAACTGATTTAGATAAAATTAGTTCCTGTTTACTATTCGCCCCCAATAGCAGAGTCATGTTAAAATTGCTTATGCATCGTCGTTAAATGCGTTTTACAGCAGTTACTGATTCACCAGCCCTCGGCTAATAAACCACAACTTAGTCAAAACAACTATAAAGCACAAACGTAGCATGAACATGGAATACTCTAAGCTGTTCTATATAGTGATTCATCCCCGTTTGTAGGTTAAGACATCCTCAGTACACATCAAAACTTAGAGTCCCACCGCCAAAAGGGATTTGCGGAATAATACACTCCCTTGGGTACTCTCTTGATCTTGTTGCCTTTCAGTGTTTTGATGAGCTGAAAGATAGATGACTCGTTTGCATTAGGTGCTATGAACACCTTAATATTATATTGTGTAGACCAAATATTGCATCGTATATTGTTGTTCAGTGACCGTAGGATGTGCAGCTTAAACACACACACACACACACACACAGAGAGAACTACCATCGCATTAACTTTCTATTCTATCAGGTAGCAATGAAACGACATTGACTAGGCCGTATCTGGTGTATTCTCCAGCGAGTTGTTGTTTTCCGGATGTAGAGCCAGTCAAATAGTTCTGTGACCATCGTTCATCCATTCTCCAGCTCGTTCCACATAAGTGCGTGTCTTTTTTGCATTATCCCTCAATCCTGACTTTGCCACACTTATGAACGCACACAAGCATACACAAATCCGCAAATGTAAGTAAATTTTATAAACCGCTTAGCTTGCTTTTAATCACCCCCTGCTTTGATTGGGGGATATTCGTTCACAGTGGAAAAGAATATGGCATGTACACCAGCACACACATACATAAGCATACATTTTACGAAAAAACCGAATACAAGCTTCGATTCGATCATTCAGGAATGGAGGGTCTGATTCCACTCTTATTCCCATTTCACCCACTTTAATCAACGGATCCATTAACAAAAGTATTAGGAGACCGCGGATAAAATTACACATATGCATACACACATATACTAACATGCACGCGCTGATGTGGTACGCTGGCACACATGGCATTGATGAATCGCGTCAGGCGTCTGTGACAATTGCTCGCTTTCAGGCATACCC